TGCATCCTGGCTGGGTTGGGTTCTTTTTTAGAATCCCAAGTTTTGAAAGGTTTCCATTCATGTATTTGTATAACAGCTATGTATATATATATAGATAGATACAGATACGGATATACATATAATATATACGATATAGATATAGAAATAACATGAATTTAAATGTATGTATACATACACATATACCAGGAACATTTTTCCAAACACATGGTCCATTGCAGAAACGCATCATTTGTTTGCTGGATTTGAGCCAAAGCGCCACACCAAACCTCCACCATTTTTTAAGCTGGCCCCTGCCTTGCCATAGGTTTCAATACCAAAATGGTCATCAATGACTTGGAGAGCTTGGGGGCATTTTGGGAAAGCTCTAATCATGACTCAAACCCGAAACTGGAGCGTTTCGTACCAACAATGACCCGCCGTGTGTATGGCACGGTTCCTCATTTTTACCAAGAACCCATTTAAACAATGCTCAACACCCCTGATGGTTGATGACTATAGAGGATTTTACTAACCAATATATCGCGGATAATCATAATCCATGAGGGGAATCCCCATCAACCAACCAGTATAGAGAGAGGGGGTTTGAACAGCGCTCATTTGGCCTTTGGATGGTCAAGGCATTTCGTTTTTTTTGTCCCTGAGCACTTGGAACTGTACCCACGAGGTCTTCATATTATGATGACTGGCAGCCTCCCCAGACGGCTGCACTCTTATCAAACCCTGGCGGCATTTCGCGAAGCTGTGCAATCGAAACCCATTGATTGGGGAAGGTGGGGAGCACGTTTTTTGAGGCCACAGAAATGGGTGTTTGCAACACACATTGGGAGTTGACATGCAAACCAATGGGTTCAATGTAAGTTTTCCAGATTGTATCTGGATGGTGGATAGAGACGACTTGGCCGACCGAGACATGCTGCAAATTATTTCCTAGCCCAACTCCATGTGATCCTGAACTTTTCTTTTCTTCATCACATATTTGGTCAATAAAAATAAAAAACTGGAAGTTCCAGGATTCATTGTTTACTGCTCAATACGGGGTTTCAAACATGTTCTTTTCCGCCAATTCCAGAAAAGTGACCGTTGGTCCGGTTCTGCATTGAAATTTCATTTCTTTCGGTGAAATCACAATTTTTCTTGATTCAAACCCCTTGGTTTTGTCGCTTCATGTCGCTTCACCACGAAACTGTGGAAGGAAACAGTGGCGAAGCACCAGTGAGAACTGCAAGGAGATCTCGGTTTGGATGAAGGGTTTAGAGGAGTTGATGCTTGGGAAACTGGACAATTTAGATATGTGGATATATAAATGGATGTTTGATGGATATAGGATAATGGTCTTTGTTCCATATTTGATGTTTGGAGGCTTTGGATGAATAGTGCTGATGTGTGGGTATATGAATACATGTGTGTTGGTGAGAAATATTGGCTGTTTGATAAATGTTTGGAGTTGATATTCTACAACAAGCTAACATAGATGTGGCTAGAATGATGGTAAAAAATAATATGTAACTGGTGGGGTTTCTATATCTATGTTGGACAGTCCCAATTTGTAGCGGGAAGAAAGCCCGCTTGAAACCCACCCACCCGCATCGTTTGGGCGTTTGCTGATCAAGATTCGTGGCTCCCATGGTATCCCGTCGTCCACTTTTGATCTAGCTCACTTTGAGACGGTTTTCTGGATGTTTTGAGTCATTTCAACATAAAGTTGGCAGGTTTTATCAAGTTATATCGAGTTATATCCCCATTCGCTGCTGGTATCTGTTGGTTGCATCGCGGTTTATTGCCAATCCCTTCCCCTCATATTTAATACCCCCAAACGAAACCTTGGTAAAAAGTACAACGAATTTCTTCATTTGGCCGCTAAAAGGTGGGTATTTCATATGATGGGTCCAGGACACCATCACAAAGTGTATGGCCGTGAAGCCTCTTGGAGCGGCAAAACAAGTGCATGGTGCGCTGATTCCGGAAACGGCCACGAAACATAGGTTCAATGGGAATTTCAGGATCCTAAAATGGAGGTACTGTACCATATAAGACCATATTTTATGGGGATATTCCCTTACATAGGCCTTACATAGGCCTTACATAGGCCTTATATATGTTAGGTATCTCCAATTTAGGTTCCTGAAATGGCCATTGATAGGTGGATTCTTCGATTTTTCCAAGAATGAGGCACTGCAGGATCGCAGGACTAGTGAATGGGATCTGGGAGGACTTGCGAAGACTTCACGGATCAAGGACTTGCTATCTGAAGCTTTTGTCAACCCGAACCCCAGAAAGAACTTGATGCACGGAACAAGGACTGCATGGTGACAATGTTGCTTGATAACCTACATGTATTTCCTCCTGGCCCAATGACGCGTCGATGCTGCGGCCACTGCAAGCTGAACACACACCTGAACACTATGTGTAGCCAGCAAAATCTGCTCCCATCACTGCTCCATACTCATGTACAATCATGGATTGGATTGGAACTGAGAGAGAAAGGCCTCCGGAGCGTCAGGCACATCCCTGGCAATCTCTGTGTCGTCGAAAGCCATGGACAAAGCCAACGCTAAACCCTTGCATAGCGGTGGCGGGTACTCTTTCAAAGATGCAGTGTTCCATCTGCCCCATCGCTCCTACATGTGTATATATATATATACATGTATAAATACACACATGTATAAATATATGTATATACATATATGTATATACATACATATATATATATATAAATACATATATACATACATAGATACACATATACACACATACATAGCTACCTAGCTACCTAGCTACCTAGCTACCTAGCTACCTAGCTACCTACATACATACATACACACATACACACATACATACATACATACATACATACATACATACATACATACATACATACATACATACATACATACATACATACATACATACATAATACATACATACATACATACATACATACATACATACATACATACATACATACATACATACATACATACATACATACATACATACATACATACATACATACATACATACATACATACATACATACATACATTCATACATTCATACATTCATACATTCATACATTCATACATTCATACATTCATACATACATACATACATACACACATATATACATGTATATATATGTATATGTATACATATGTATATACATATATATATATATACATACATACACATATATATATATATGTACATATATGTGAAACCGCTGGTTCATTTGACCATTCGATTGCCTTGGGGTCATAACAGCCACTTCGCTGTTCGGTCGATGCCTGATTGGCTCAAGGGCCCGACTTTCAGGAACGCGGGGAAAACAGGAAAGCCATTTGCGAGCTTTGGTGTTCAGGTGATATCTTTTGGGATTTGGAAGAGAGGACTCTTCATTGGTTTTGGCATTCAGGTGATTCAACAGGAATATTCCTTTCAGACCCTTTTCAATTCTCTACCTTGTGGACAAGGAACTCAAACTCAGGTTGCTGCCAGTGTACTGGGCCCATCCCAGTTACACTGGTAGCGGAGCCAGTTGGCTCGCGCTGCCGTTAGCGTGAAAAGCCGGTGATCTGACTTGTAACTGCAAAGCTGTAGGACAGCCCAAAGCATGTCAAGTTCCAGTGCCGTTGATGAGAAAAGCTCCGGACTTTGGGGCCAATTGCCGAGTTTTGACCCGAGTACAGACGATGTGAGAGAGTTCATACAGAAAGCCAGGTTTTTGCACGGTGTGTTTCCTTCCAAAGAGAAACCAAATCTCGCGCCTCGCCTTGCCATGCAATGTAAGGGAACAGCATGGAGTCAGGTTCGCCAGCTCGATCCTGCAAAGTTGGTCGATGCCGAGCTAGGTGTTGAGTACTTACTCAGTGCGTTGGGAGATTGGGAAGAAACCTCTGAGCTCAAGACGTTTGAACTCTTTGAGAAAGCCATGTACAAGGTGACACAGAAATCGGATGAGGCTACTCACAGCTTCACTTTGAGGCTGCAAGCTGCTTTCCATGATCTAGGAACCAAGGTGACGGTCTCCGAGATGCAGGCATTCATATTGCTCAGGCAGTCGTGTTTGTCAAGCGAGGACAAGAAACGTGTGCTTTCCATGACAGGGGGTGAACTTTCCCTTTCCAAAGTGGAACAAGCCATGAGAACGCTGTCAACCAGAGTACTGTTTGGTTCTGGAGAAGTGAAGAAGAAGGTATACCCAGCCAACTATGTGGATACAGGTGATGAACATGTCAATCAGGCTGATGAAATCATGACGCAAAGTACATACCATGTTTCCGTGGATGAGGACGAAGCCCTAACTGCTGAGACTATTGAGTCTTTGGTGCAAGCTGGGGATGAGGACGCCATGGTTGTTCAACAGTTTGAACGTGACTTTGAGGACATGATGCAAGACATTCCGGATCTCCAAAGTGCGTTGGTAACGTACCAGGAGGCTAGAGCTCGAATCAGTGACAGAAAGCGCTCTCGTGGATTCTGGCCTTCCAAATCACGAGGCAAAAGCTTTGGACGAGGTGGCAAAAAGGGTGGATTCAAAGGGAGTGGAAAAGATGAGCTACTGGCAAGGATCAGCAGGACTCACTGTAAGATATGTGGTGCTCTGGGGCATTGGAAGGCAGAATGCCCCCAGCGTCAAAACCAGCCCAAAGAAACAGCCAATGTAGCTCATGCCGAAGATGAAGATTCACCTCATGATTTGCCACAGGTCATCATTGAAGAGAACTTCGAGGCCGGGGTTGTTGAGCATGAAAGTTGTCTGGTAGTTCAACAAGTTTCTCCTCAGAAACATCCGTCCTGCATCCGTCCCGACACTTGCCAAAAAGCCTATCAGTTTTGGACCAATAAGCTGAAGGGGTATAATAAGGTAAATAATGGGGATAAGACAGCCAGCCGCAGCATCCGCCTACATGTCCCTCCCTGGGACAGGAATGGAGCCATGCCGAAGGAAACCAAGGGTTCAACCACCAGTGAGCCCGTCGAATGCCATCACAGCCAAACGGCTGTCAAAGCTGGATCCATGACAGGTCTTGCCATAATTGACACAGGCGCAAGCCGCAGTGTCATCGGAAACGACTTAGTGCCCGCAGTTCTGGAAAAGCTGCCCATGAGCATCCGTCAGCAAGTCCGAGAACAGCCAAGCAAGGTCGGATTTCGTTTTGGCAACAATCAGGTGTCATACAGTTTCAAGCAACTGCAAATCCCACTGGTTTATGGAAAACACAGAATTTGGTTGTTGGTTGAAGTTGTCCCAAAAGCAACACCATTTCTACTATCCATCAAGACCATGAAGAGCCTAGGAGCCAACATAGATCTGTCTCAGAACACATGTTTCCTAAAGACGTTGCAAAGATCGTTGCCTCTCAAAGAGAACTCAAATGGATTGTTCATGATTGACATTGCTGACCTGTGCCGAAACAGTGAGCATTCGAATGAAGCAGCCTTTACGATTTCAAGTGATACGATCGACCAGCCTCCAGGTTTGACTCCCGTGATCGATTCAAGTCATGCCGAACCGCCAGGAAGTCTTAGAAGCTCTTCGCAACTTGTGCGAAGAGGTGATGGAGAGCCTCAGAATTTTGTTCTTCATGCTCTTCACGATGACCAAAGCGGTGGAACCAGAGACCCAGATGCAGGAGTCCGAGATGCTGCCCATCAACCAACTGGTGAGCGAGGTGCGCAGTCAGAAAGCCAAGATCCAAGAGCTGGGGAATCTCATCACGAATCAGTTCACCAAGGACAAGTCAGCAGCCAGTGGACCTTCAACAATGAGCCCAAATCCGACTCTGACGATGGGTTTCGAACAGTGGGAGCTCGCAGAAATGGAAGTGGCC